GTTCTGGTCCAAATTCGCATACAAATTCCATTTGTCCGCCGACGGCACGTAGTAGTGTAATGAGACACTGATTTACAAACCCAAAAGCCTGAAGGCATGACTATATCACCGTTTTTCCTTACAGCAACTAATGTTGACCAAACGAATTGTTGATAGAGTAATATATCTTACGCTAACGACATTGCCAACGAACTAATATCTAACGAATAATATAGCTAATGACATTGCCGTGGAACTAAACTTGTGTATATTTAAAAAGTAAATAGACCTATTTTATTTCAGGTGACAGTGATTTGCTATTTATAAATAAATTCTTCACGATATCTTTAAAGACTAAGAGACAATATTTCGTCTGATTTATTTGGGAAACCTATTACAATGATCCGAAACATTTACTCGGAACAAAGCCTCTACATAGGAAGAGAAAATAAATTGAGCAAGTACCTTGAAATAGAAACGAACTTAGGCAATTATGCATCTTCTTCCTGCATGCATTTTACCCATACAGAGAGGTAATCGTAAGTGAACTTGAGGTCCTGATAAGAACTGAATGCATGATCGGACAATTTCTTCCGAGATTAAAACGAGTCTTGGAGCAACACAAATGGGTTTCGAAATGGAAACGAAAAGAAGAATTTTAATTAGAATCGGATAAAAAGACAATTGAAATGCCTGAGTAAAGTGGGTTCGGAGAAATTGACACTCACATGGCATACTTAATATAAGAAGCAAAGAGGGAAATAACAAGTAATTTTCATAATGAGTTTGTGAAATGGATGGCAAGACACGGGTTTGAGTGATAGTAATATTTCAAGCATTGGTTAAAGTGCTTGGATAATTCATTTTCTTCGGTTTATCAACCCTTTGCAGGTTATTTAAAACCAGAAAATATTTTTAGATTGTAAGAATTTTTGAGACAATAATGGTTTAGTGATACAAGTCTTACTAATTAACCCATAGCTGTGGGAGAGATGAGGTGAATTCAAACTTTTCGCAACGACATTTGCGCGTAAGTGAATATAACGAATTCAACATGAATTGGAACTCGGCTTTCCGATTAAAAATTCGAAGACATTATCCATTACACCATCCACACATCCAAGCTTATTGAACCTGGTATTCCCTAGAAACTGACCAGGTTCGACGTTGCTTAACTTTGGAGGTCGTACGAGAACCGATGTTTCAACGCGATATGGCCGTAAACCTTTTGAAAATTTATAAGCCAGCGGTGAAAACTATAGTTATCAGTGCTTTTTAAATATTTTTTTATGTATTTAACAATGCATAGAGAATAATTTCAATGATGTGTATCCTCATACAAGACGTAAACATTGCATTACGCGCAAGAATTCCAAAATCGAATTAAAAAGAAGAAAAAAACTATTGTCATCCAGTTTATGAAGCTAACCTTTAATATTTCATTTAATCATGATTGCTAAATATGTAGTTACAAAGGCTAGAAATGAAGTATTTAGAATGTTGGCAGATACATATGAAACCTGAACTGTTATTAGTTGGATGTTAAGACCGAAGATTAATTAAAAAAAAAAAAAGAAAAAAAAGGTATCTGCGATTTGCCTAATCATTCCTCCTCAAGTAATACGCTATCCTGGGTATGACTATAAACTATATCCCGCAGCAAAGCCTCTGATCAGGAGGTTTCGAGGAGCGTTGAACTACTTCGTAACTGCTGGTGTTCCCAGGTTCATCATGACTCGGGGTGGTAGTAACTTTTAGGGTCTCCGCTATGGGCAAATAGTTAAACTCCAAACTGGGCTGAAAAGAGAATGTTTGGGGTCAGACAGATAAAGGATAATTCGATGTTTGGCAATTTGGATCAGATTTTAGAAAATGAGATTTTCCGCATATTTCCGTACCGCCCACGAGCGGACACACACACACACACACACACACACACACACACACACACACACACACACACACACACACACACACACACACAGAGAGAGAGAGAGAGAGAGAGAGAGAGAGAGACGCATAATGAATAATACATATTTAAAAAATATCAGCAATAAAAATTTTGTTGGCATTAAATAAATTTTGAGGTTGATATGCCGTAAACCAAACCAAACCAAACCAGACCAGGCAATACGATAATGTCTTTAGGACGCATGGGGTTACTGTGAGTTGAAGAGAATGGAAAATATTTCGTGGGGAGAAAGAACAAGAAAGGAACACGTTTCAGGAAGAGAGAAGATAGCGATCGCATTTAAATTATAGGTAGCAGTGGAGCATGAAATCCGAAGTGAGTTTCACAAGCGAGAAAAGAAACCATTAGAATACACTATACGGTGACATCTACTGAGTTTAACTGTAAAGACGTAGTTGCCAATCTAGTATCACGCTTAAAATCATGTACAAAATGGAAGCGTTAACTCATCACGGTGAAACATTCCGGTGTTTCTCAAAAGAATTTCTTTGTTTTTTTTTTTGTCCTTTTTGATCTTTTCTTTCACATGGAAGTTTCTATTTTCTATTATCTTACCCACAGATAATTTCTACCTTTCTTTTTTTTTTAATCTATTTCTTCTGGGTGTCTTTTCTTTTCTTTATCTTTAACACTGTTTTCAAGAAACAAAAACCAGCTGGTGTCTTTGGAGTTGCTCGTACAACAGCCATCTTTTTTTTTCTTTTTTTTTTTTTTTTAAAAAAAAAGCCCTTCAAATGATGTAAAGGTTTTGTCGTTCCTATGGAAACTCACCTCTTAAAAATTTCTTTCCGACTTTTGTTTTCAGATTACTATCGATGAATCAATCCAAATCCCGAATATCAATTTTTTAAAAAAATCGATATAAATTAATATTGGGTAAAGTTGCACAAAAAATACTCCTACGTCGTGGTAAATTCCTACTTCCGGTTACATAACAACCTGCAATTAAAAATTTAAAGTATATTACATTTCACATAATTTCAAAGTAAAATAAAAAAGTTAATATTTATATTATCTAAATCATATTCTTATATATATTTTGCTTGGTCTGTATTAAAATAATGCTTATATAAACGATTTCAAATAATTTTAAAACAGCCACGAGTTATGAGTTCCTTCTTTTTTTTTTAAAAAAAATCATTTCCCCCCAAGCAAGGCAATAAAGCTACTAAGATTCAAGGCTCTATTGAGGGTTAGAAAATATGAGGAAAAAACTCTATTAAGAACAGTGAACAATAAAAAAACATATAAAATAAATGGAGAAGGCAGAAGATAATGATTGACATTGCATTTAAATTTTTGAAGATCGAAATTGACTCGGAAGCAAGAAGCCAGAAGAGAGATCCATAAAGGACAAGTGCCATAGAAGAATAGCATAGAACTTACGGTTACATCTAGACATTACAACTGTAAAATGATGGGCCCTTGTTGCCAATCTGGTACAGCGCTTAAATTCATAAAGACTAGGTACCATAGAGGAAAGTACCTCAGAACAATTACCATGACGGTATTTATAGAAAAAACATAGAAACGCTACGTTACGGCGGTGGGAAAGTGAATGAGGCCGAGATACTAGGCCAGGATCAATAACATTGCAGATTATTCTTTGTATTTTAAAAAAATCTCTATAAATACATAGAAAAAGCACCAGACTAGATGTTGCAGTAATATTCAAAGTAAGGACAAGTGGTTAACTTATAAATATGTAAAATAGATTCTGACAGGAAAAATTGGCATGACACAGTGAAGCAACTTTTTTGGTGCAGACTTCGCAGTTGATTCAATATAGTCTTTCCACTTCGTATCAGGGGTTAATGTTAGTCCAAGAAGGCGAAATAGGTCACTCTCCTGGAGGTTAGGATCAGCCATGCTGAAGTCAAAAAGTTTCTCGAAGACGATTAAAAGAGAACAGTTTCGTCTTGAAGGCGATAAAATTCACGTAAGGAATCCAATGCACTATGCTGGTAACAGAAAAGTCTTGTGAATAGGACGTTCCTTTCTCATAGACGACTCAAAAGAAATATCAACAGATACTACAACATGATCCGAATTGTCAGTAGGACATAGTTGTCATGGTCTACAAGAGCTAGGACTCGAGTTAAGGAACAAATCAAGTATAGAAGAATGTTGATCAGATTTATTAGGGAAACGAGTAGAGAATTTGCCTATTTGACAGAGAGACTGACCAACGGAAAAATTGCAAGTCAACACCAGTTTGTGTCTATATCTCTGGGTTGAGGTATGATGATTATTTACATTATTTACATTATTCGGACAATTATCTACATTTCCATTGCTATATTCACGACGTTTAGGCCGTTGTACGCTCTGGTCTTCTTCAGGTGATTGGAATTTCGAACCGAACCATTTATTTCGTACAGCGGGGTAGATTGTTCTAATTCCACAAATGGATAAAGACGTTGGTTAGATCCAGTGACTAGAACCAAAGAGTTGTGAGTTCAATACCAGGCCATAGCAGTGGTGAACCAAAACTTGGAGAGTTGTGTTAAAGGGCAATAACTGAGACACCAGGAAGAAGCATGGGCGTGGAACTAGAACAATCTACTCCGGTGGACTAAATAAAGAGTTCGGTTCGAAATTCCAATCACTTGAAGAATGCCGGAGTGTACAAAGGCCGAAACGTCGTGAATATAGCAATGAAGATGAGCATAACAGTCCGAATAATGCAAATAATATGAACAACATCAGTTATATTAGAATCCTTAAACGACTTGACGTTATGGGCATTAAAGTCACCAAACACAAAAATGGTCGGAGATGAATGGCGAGAGAGAGAGAGAGAGAGAGAGAGAGAGAGAGAGAGAGAGAGAGAAAGAGAGAGAGAGAGAGAGATTTCTATAGTGTCAGAAAATTTGTTTAATATATTGCAGTTCCGAGAAAAAAGGAAAAAGAGATAGGTAACATATTGCAACAAGGAAAGCCGAGAGCCCATGAAAGAATTATCTGCGGACTCAAGAGACAATTTCCTAGTAATTGGTAGATTTTCCTGAATATAAGCATGGATGCCATGCATATGTATCGTAGAATC